GGTAAGAACCTACTCTGGATCAGACCTTGAAATCTTAGATCCCAGCTTCCCCTAAATATATTACTTCTTAATTTTTTTTATAATTTTACAGTTTCTGATATTACTATATTCAATCACAGATATGTCTGATGATATAATATATTATACATATCATTTTGTGGACAGCATGAACTATTTATGTACTATCTAGCACATACATAATCAATAATTTATTTATTAAACTTATTACATATACTAATACTATTATGACAACAATTTTAAATTAATAATCAATTATTTTATATTTTAACTCATAATAGTATTTGTGTTGTAAACTGAACGATGGTTGATTGAAATTTGAAACAATTACCATATGCCTCTTCAGTCAGCTATATCCTATTAAGAGAATATTATGCGGAAAGCAGAAAACGATTGAAAATTGTTGTAGTTTAGTAAATATTGATCATATTCATATATTATAATTTACAAATATGATTTATAATAAATACATAATAACCAAACCTAACCCATAAAATGTACATAGTTGTAAAATTAATGATCCGACACTATGGGAGTCATTAGGTCAAACGATTGATTTTATTGGCAGGTAGGGGGATTCCCAGTTATATTCGATGGAAAAAGGAAGCAGGGGAAGGGCTTCGATTTTCACGAATTTCTCCACATGTTACTTTGATAAATTATTAACCACTATAATACATATGACTAATCGTAGTAAGTTTATGTTACAGGAATAGAAATCGAAATCAACCTAAAAAATAGTGCGAAGACGCGAAGTATATATTGATAAATATAGATATTAACCACAATTATAGTGATTACTGATTTACTATCGAAGCGGATCTTCAGCACATTAGTTTAAAAAAATTAAGCTGTAGGCGTATATCAAATAAAGTTTTTACAATAATTCTACGGATTATATAATAATGACATAAGTGGTAGGTAGGTAGGTACAGACGTCTCCAAAACCAATAGTCTTACTAAAACTATACTATTCTAACTGAATAATATATAAAATCATATACAGACCTACTTGATATATATTATACACTTAGAAGATGCATAATATAAAAAAGGATTTTAGTTAAAAGTTCAATACATTATATAGTGATATATCGATACTATTGGACTTACGGAAAATGTTTTATTTTAGAATCTTTTCCTATATTTATACTTATCATGATATGAATATCAGAATAAAATAATACAGAACGATGTCGGGATAAATGTAATCACAGAAATTAGTTGTAAATTATAAAAAACCTTTTATGTTTCCAATTTAGTAGTTTGTCTATTGTATAATCGTTGCATACTGAAGTAATTAAATTATTACTGTATAATAAATGAATTAGTTTTAGATTCTGAGTTTCGCTGATTGGCTTGATTGTATTAATTCGGTTCTACAACTATGAGTTCTTTAGAAAAAGAGTAGGAAAATGCCTCAGTATTTAACCTTGATGAAAAAATATCCGATACTTTTCAAAATAATCAGGAAAAATTAAAAAAGTGTTTAATGTTTTTTTCTACAAATTTTGTCAATTTTGATATAACTTTTTTTCTATGTCGAAGAACTTGAAAACGTAGTACAAACTATAAATCTTATAAGCCATCAGCTACTTTTAGCATCTTAAAAATATTGAAAATGTATGATCAGTTTTTTTGCTGACATAATCCCAAAAATTTGACAATTATTTTGGAGTTAAAAACGCGTTAACATTTGTAAAGCTAAGATTTGAAAATAGAGGTTGATCAGATAACGGTTTATAAGTGATTATTAAATAATTTTAAAAATATTGATGATATTTGATTTTTAAAAACGAAATTTAATGAATAAGTAGATACTTTTTTTACAATGTTTTATTCAATCTGTTTCAAAAAAGAACAGTAACAAGTGAAGTAATAGGTAGTAATAAAAATAAAAAGGTGGATACTTAGAACTCTTCATTCCATAAACTAATTTTAAATTGATGCAATAATTAACCACAATGAGTAAATCACAAAAATAAGATTTTACTCCATTTTAAATACACGGGACTGAGAGAAAATATCGATAAATGAAATGAAATCTCGATATATGTATAAAGTATATGGATATAAAGAATCTTCCAAAACGTTTAAAATAAATAATTTATAGAATAATATCGATTTTATATTTCGTAACAAAACTATAGTTAATAATAATTATGGTATATAACAGTAATAGCTGTATAGCTGTACCTATTGGAATTAAAGTGTCAGTTCGAATAATATTACTGTTTTATTAAATACTACAATAAATAAATTATGGTATTTATCATAATATAATCGTTTAGCAAAAATGTCTAGCAATACTTTAAGCAGGGTATTACATTTACGATATTCCATTACCTAAGTAATATTGTATACTCGATTTGTATTTAGCATTTTTTTTCAGAACAAAAGCTAATAGGAGAGTTGTCATAAGGATAAATTATATTATTGTTATTGCTGCAATCGACAATTATAAATACGAAATACTAGTATTAAATAATAAAGAGTATTAAAAACTAATGCTATTAGGTACTGAATATTATTTAATCGATAAAATACGATTTATACCTCTGTTTTAATTTTTTTGAGAACATTTTCAAATCATAAAAATATAAGATAAAGTAAATATTAAATTTCAATTATCGTTTATACCTAAAAAAAACTTGTTTATACTATTATAAATATAATAATGATATATCTAAGCATTAATTAAATTAATTTTAATGATAATAGATTATATTTGTATTTGTTGCAGTAACGCCAAAAACTATAATAATTAATGATGGAAAGTTAAATAATTAAAAGAAACAACACGATGTTATGAATAATAATACGCAGTAATCCGGTAAGGGAAAGTAGGTGTAAATAAGTTAGTTTTTAATGAAAATTCATATATTATCATAATATTGATTCATTGTTCGAATAAGAATATCACCATATGATTTATAAGAATTAAAAAAATTAAAATAATAATGTAATATATATATTTTTTATTTATCTCATCATTATTTGTACCATTTATAACTATAAGTTTACTTTATGACGTATTGTTAGTTCAGATCTAGTGAGTACCGTACCTATTAACATTTCATAAACGTTTTTGCGCAGAACCAAGTTTGATTTTAATTTATTTTTAATTTAAATACAATATAATATGTTTGAAAGTGTCAGTGGCGACAGTGGCGTCAGTGGCGTATACATGAGGCATCTGGGTCACGCCCTACCTCCAAATTACGGGCTTAATTAAACATTTTACATAGCTTATACATCATTAATATTTTTTGCTTCATTATATAAAGTGGGTGATTCAAAATATATATTAGTTTTAAGTTTTTACGTATATATATTTTTAAATCAATAATTAAATTACAAACTTTAGTGTAAATAATATATATTATTGATTTATAAGTTATGTTAAAATTGTTCTGTTCAGCAACAGATTAGTTAATACGCGAGATTTACAAATATTTACATGGAGGGGGAACATTTTTATCTTTATTGTATATTATAGAATACAAATCATAGGTAGCTAAATAGCACTACATATGTGATGAGTGAATGTCGTACCTAACAAAAATAATATTGATGATAGTTTAGGGTAGGTAGTATATATATAATATTATTTATGATATTTGGTACTCAAAGAAGATCATAATAATGATGTGTTCAAATCAAAACTAGCCCATATACCAAATCGTTATCCATATATAGGGCCCGGTGAGTAATAGGTATATAACTAATCTTTACAACATATTTCACAGTTAGGAGGATGTTAACGTACCATTTGTTTTCTCTCTCAGACCAACGCACATAATAGAAAATTTGTGTTTAGTAGAACCAAGTGTCGTTAGCATTTATGTTACAAATAATTTACATATAGATTAACTTAGAGTTTAGAACATTATCTGTGTCTGGTCCTAAGTTTTTACGATATTTTAATTTTATGTAGATTACGAGCAAGTAAAAAATTGCAAAGGTATATTTCAGAAAAATTGATATATTATTAAAAAGTAGATATACAAACACATATAATGTACTTAACTTTAAATTTGATTATATGACAGTTCATTGTCGTATAACAGCTATAAACACAAAACAATATTGATTCTGTTGAATGCAAATTTGTTTCGTGCTCTAAATGCTATACCAAAACTATCAACTATGTATAACTTTCAGCGATACGAGTTTTAAACAAATAATACAAGATTGCAGTAGTTTTCCTTCCAAATGAAACTAGTCTTTTTAAAATAATCAGTAATTGGCTACATCACCAACAAGGTTATGTATGATAACTAAAGTGACTTGCTGTAATTAATAAACTACTATCCGTTTTTTTAAATCTAACTTTATGTAAATAATTGCACATATTATTGTTATTATGTAATTAATAATCAAATAAAAATAAATGTTTATACCACCAAATTAAGCACTTCATTGGTCAACAGTGCGCCATACAAATATATTAGGTATGACGTGATTTTATATTTATCATCACTTGTAAATTTAAAGCGAATTCCTAGTTCAACAATTATTGATAGCGAATTATTAACACCCAAAATAAATTGGACTACATATAGTACATTTCGTATAATCTAGTGTAGGATGACTTTAATTTTTAGAGATGTAATTCAATTAATTTAATCTGAACAATTATAGAAATGTAAATTACTAATAAATTACCTATAAACTATCGAAATTAAAATACAAAACACTAAAACTGATAAGTAATTACGGGTAATTAATTTTTTTACGATGAAAATTAATCATCAAAAACCTTTAAAATTTAAAAACAAATCATATACGTCAGAGCACGAGGTACGCAAGACCAGTTTTATTCAAGGTCAATGTAATATAGAAGACACGTAGAGTTGACTTCCAGAGGTAGTCACACAAACGAGGTCGAACAGTGAACAGCCACTCTCTAATATGTACATATATGTAATAATAATCAAATAATTTAATATATAGTTTAACGTGTGTGTCGTATACTTAAAATTTGTAATAAAAAAATTTGAGGTACTTTTTTTTAAAAAACAATAATGGAAACTTTAGAAAAACATTTTAAAGTTACTGCTCAGCAAGAGTATGAAAAAAATCCACAATTGTCTGCAACAGACGTAGAAGAGCTTCTAAAATGGAGTAAAGAAAATATAAATTTATATGGGAAATTAATTGGTGAGTGTTTTACATATTATTCGATTTAAGTATATAGTATGAAAATATGCCATTTTCTCATATATTTTAATTATTTTTAACTTAAATTTTAAACAAGTTATTTTCAATGAAAAGTTGTAATAAATCATCAAAAATTCATGGAACGAATCTATAAAAAAAAATCAATTTTTAACTATTAGGTTAAGGTCAAAAACGATTTTTTTTAACAACAAACTTTATGTGAGAAAATTCATACAACGTTTACATAATAAAACATCTTTCAATTTTGTAGACAATAATATCGTTAATATTTTATAGTACCTCATACCTGTGTACTCATGAATATTTTTTTTATGTAAAATACATTTTTTCATATCAAACATTATGCCAAAACTGATATAATAACATTTTAACACGTACAATTTACCATAATGTACTTACTAAATATTATAAAAAAACATTTTAAACAAATATCACTTATTTTAAAATTTTATAAAATATTACTTATGACACGTACTTATATTTATGTGCAATTTCGATTTAATCGGCGATTTTTTTTTTGAGTATTAGTTAAATTTTCTATATTATAAAATTAAAAACCTTTGCACTGTTAACTTGGTTTTCTGTGAATATTTATTATATATTTATGGTCCAGAAAACATAAACAAATTGGTAAATATTATTAACCTACTCTACCTATATATATATATATATATATATTTGATTTTAATCCATTAAAACGGACAATAAATTTCTAAATATTTGTTATAATAATTATGTATAATAAAAATAAATATCTTATTATTTTCAACAGATCTTCAAATTATAATGTTTTTGCACGCATGTAACTACGATAAAGAATATGCAAAAAAGGTAATACGTCAGTGCTATAATTTACGAGCTAAGAAGTGCACTCCCTTCTTTTCGGCAAGAGACCCTGCACATCCTTTCAATCTAAAACAATTGGATGTTGTGTAAGCATGAATTAATATAATTATCTTATGGGAACTGTTTTATTTTGGTAATTTATAGGAATTTATAATCAAAATTTGTTTGTTTAGTAATATTAACATAATCCCGGACGAAGAAAGTTGCTACAGTTATATATGGTCGCGGTTAAAAATTGTGGATGCATCACAATATTATCCAACTGTGGCGTCAAAACTCACATTTATGGCAATTGAACTCGATCAAGTCGAATACGGTACTAAGTCGGGGTACAGAATGGTACTGGATTCTAATAATTTTAGCTTCAGTCACGCATTACGTTACTCTCTATCAAACGCAAGAAATTTAATGTTATACGTCCAGGTAAAATTCGACTGATTTTTTTTAAGCACACTACCTGCAGACACCACCTTATACAAGTATGATTTACATGTAAATATTTTAGGAAGGCACGCCTTTTGTGATAGATAAAATTTATATTCTCAATGTCACCTCAGGAACCGAAAGACTATTTTCAACGATGAAACCGTTCATGAGCTCTTCATTAATAAATAAAGTAAGATATACACTTTCACTAATATATAATAATTTTGTATGTCAATAAAATCATTTGATTTTCTTATTTTTATTGCAGGTTATAATAAAATCAGTTTCAAAAACTGGCGAATTTATAAAAACATTGCCTCAAAAAGTCGTGCCAAAGGACTACGGTGGCCTTGCACCAATTATGAGCGAAACCAATGGTAAATTTAAGTTTGAGTAAAAATGTTAAGGAATTTTATTGTTGACAAGTATTGTTTTATATTTATAGAAATCTTGAAACAAAAATTATTSGATAATCGGGATTATTTTTTGGATGAAGAAAAATTAAGAAATGGYATTGTTAAAGATGAAGTAGACACAACAGTTGGTGACAATGAAAATGACAAGAATAATATACATTCTTTTAAAAACTTAAGCATTGATTAAACTCATTTTCAATATATATTTTTTTAACTTAATTATTTTTAATTCAGATGATTTAAATTTATAAATACCATAAAAGATATTGAACTTATTATAGATCAAGATGTTTTATTTTTCAATAAGCATTTAGCTGTTATATATTTATTTATTGTATCAAAAGGGGTCTCAAATTGTAATTTAACTATTTTGTTTTTTAATTTTWATTTAAATAAATAAAAAAATAATAATATCAAATCTTTATTCTAAGCTTAAAATACAAATAAAATATGTAATTATGAATGAATAATAAATATGTATTTGAAGTTAGTATGAGAGTGAAATAAAACCATRTAGAAATTAAACAGTTATGGACAAAATTAAATATACAATAATTATGAAATTGTTTAAAAAAATTGAATTCCATTAAAACATTTTTCCCTACACTCAATTTTGAAGGACTTTATATTAATTGTACCCTAAATAGGATTGATTTTATTCAATAGTAGGTTATATACTCAATGAGCTATTGAGCTAGTTATAGAAAACATGTATAAAAATATATATAAGTACTAAGTAGTATATACAGGGAAATCCATTCAACTTCACACATTTTCCAATCAATTATTTTAAATCTTATAAGTGTTATGGTTTTTAAAATATTATACTTTCTAAGAATTCCAGTAAGTATATATAAGTAAATATCATAGACATAATAATATTATGTCTATGGTAAATATTTAGGAATGATAATTACTATAATAAATATTCTTTACAATCAAAAATATACATACATATGGTTATCAATTATAGCAAACATTGTAGATATTAAAAGATTAGATTCTTTTCTTAAAGTAATAAATGTCTTTAATGAATAGACAGAAAAGGTTCCAAAAACTTAGTTTTATCTGGCTTGTAAGATAATTTAGATATCTATTTTGAGAAAATTTAATCTTTTTATTTTATTTCAATACAATCACAATATTTTATTAGTTGAATGACTAAAAGAAGTTTCACTACATCTGCGCATACTCTCAACATCCATTTTTTTTTTATATTTTATCAAAACAAATTAATATTATTTACAATGGCAAAAAAATGAAAATTGTTAAAAAAA